ACTACCACTGTCACCAGTATAGCTACCACTGCAGCAGTATAACCTACCACTGCAGCAGTAATAACTACCACTGCAGCAGTATAACTACCATACTGCCAACTGTCAAGCAGTATAACTACCACTACAGCAGTATAACTACCACTGTCAGCAGTATAACTACCACTGTCAGCAGTAATAACTACCACTACAGCAAGTATAACTACCACTGCAGCAGTAAACTACCATACTGCAACTGTCAGCAGTATAACTACCACTACAGCAGTATAACTACCACTGTCAGCAGTATAACTACCACTGCAGCAGTATAACTACCACTGCAGCAGCATAACTACCACTGCAGCAGTATAAGCTATACCTACCCACTGCAGCAGTAATAAACTACCACTGCAGCAGTATAACTACCACTTGCAGCAGTATAACTACTACTGCAGCAGTATAACTACCACTGTCCAGCAGTATAACTACCACTGCAGCAGTATAACTACCACTGCAGCAGTATAACTACCACTGTCAGCAGTATAACTACCACTGCAGCCAGTATAGCTACCACTGTCAGCAGTTATAACTACCACTGCAGCAGTATAACTACCACTGTCAGCAGTATAAACTACCACTGCAGCAGTATAACTACCACTGCAGCAGTATAACTACCACTGCAGCAGTATAACTACCACTGTCAGCAGTATAGCTACCACTGCAGCAGTATAACTACCACTGTCAGCAGTATAACTACCACTGTCAGCAGTATAACTACCACTGTCAGCAGTATAACTACCACTGTCAGCAGTATAACTACCACTGCAGCAGTATAACTACCACTGCAGCAGTATAGCTACCACTGTCAGCAGTATAACTACCACTGCAGGCAGTATAACTACCATGTCAGCAGTATAACTACCACTGCAGCAGTATAACTACCACTGCAGCAGTATAACTACCACTGCAGCAGTATAACTACCACTGTCAGCAGTATAACTACCACTGCAGCAGTATAGCTACCACTGTCAGCAGTATAACTACCACTGCAGCAGTATAACTACCACTGCAGCAGTATAACTACCACTGCAGCAGTATAACTACCACTACAGCAGTATAACTACCACTGTCAGCAGTATAACTACCAACTGCAGCAGTATAACTACCACTGCAGCAGTATAACTACCATACTGCAACTGTCAGCAGTATAACTACCACTACAGCAGTATAACTACCACTGTCAGCAGTATAACTACCACTGCAGCAGTATAACTACCACTACAGCAGTATAACTACCATACTGCAACTGTCAGCAGTATAACTACCACTACAGCAGTATAACTACCACTGTCAGCAGTATAACTACCACTGCAGCAGTATAACTACCACTACAGCAGTATAACTACCACTGCAGCAGTATAACTACCACTGCAGCAGTATAACTACCACTGCAGCAGTATAACTACCATACTGCAACTGTCAGCAGTATAACTACCACTGTCAGCAGTATAACTACCACTGCAGCAGTATAACTACCACTGTCACCAGTATAGCTACCACTGCAGCAGTATAACTACCACTGCAGCAGTATAACTACCACTGCAGCAGTATAACTACCATACTGCAACTGTCAGCAGTATAACTACCACTACAGCAGTATAACTACCACTGTCAGCAGTATAACTACCACTGTCAGCAGTATAACTACCACTACAGCAGTATAACTACAACTGCAGCAGTATAACTACCATACTGCAACTGTCAGCAGTATAACTACCACTACAGCAGTATAACTACCACTGTCAGCAGTATAACTACCACTGTCAGCAGTATAACTACCACTGCAGCAGTATAACTACCACTGCAGCAGCATAACTACCACTGCAGCAGTATAACTACCACTGCAGCAGTATAACTACCACTGCAGCAGTATAACTACCACTGCAGCAGTATAAACTACTACTGCTGCAGTGTAACTACCACTGTCAGCAGTATAACTACCACTGCAGCAGTATAACTACCACTGCAGCAGTATAACTACCACTGTCAGCAGTATAACTACCACTGCAGCAGTATAGCTACCACTGCAGCAGTATAACTACCACTGCAGCAGTATAACTACCATACTGCAACTGTCAGCAGTATAACTACCACTACAGCAGTATAACTACCACTGTCAGCAGTATAACTACCACTGTCAGCAGTATAACTACCACTACAGCAGTATAACTACCACTGCAGCAGTATAACTACCATACTGCAACTGTCAGCAGTATAACTACCACTACAGCAGTATAACTACCACTGTCAGCAGTATAACTACCACTGTCAGCAGTATAACTACCACTGCAGCAGTATAACTACCACTGCAGCAGCATAACTACCACTGCAGCAGTATAACTACCACTGCAGCAGTATAACTACCACTGCAGCAGTATAACTACCACTGCAGCAGTATAACTACTACTGCAGCAGTATAACTACCACTGTCAGCAGTATAACTACCACTGCAGCAGTATAACTACCACTGCAGCAGTATAACTACCACTGTCAGCAGTATAACTACCACTGCAGCAGTATAGCTACCACTGCAGCAGTATAACTACCACTGCAGCAGTATAACTACCATACTGCAACTGTCAGCAGTATAACTACCACTGTCAGCAGTATAACTACCACTGCAGCAGTATAACTACCACTACAGCAGTATAACTACCACTGCAGCAGTATAACTACCACTGCAGCAGTATAGCTACCACTGTCAGCAGTATAACTACCACTGCAGCAGTATAACTACCACTGCAGCAGTATAACTACCACTGCAGCAGTATAACTACCACTGTCAGCAGTATAGCTACCACTGCAGCAGTATAACTACCACTGTCAGCAGTATAACTACCACTGCAGCAGCATCATTCGTCAAGTGTTCATTCCAGAATTTGGCTTGCGATTTTCAGTGGTTTCAGTCGTGATGATTCGCCCCCTACGTTTCTGTAGCACGATAACGGCATTGCAAATCAACGTAAATAATATTACAAGGCTGCATCGAATTATTCTTCCTCTGCTTTGTACGGCTAATGTTGATGTAAGACGGTGATTCTTAGCCTGGGGCGCATGCACCCCGCGGAGGGTGCGAAATGCCGTTTCTGTGAGACATGGCCAGTTTTTTAGAAGGTAAATCATCGAAACACAATTTAAGCAAGGGCATGTAATGTACAACTACTTTGTTAAATCAAACCTATGTATTTATTAACATTATACATTTTTTTTTTTACGATTGAAAACCAAAGGGGGTTGGCAAGGCTGCAGTGAAGGTTTAGAACTACATGTGTTTAGCAACAGCTGTGATCTTTTTTTTTTACATCGAGGTGGTCGAGTCAGGATAGTTGGAGCCATGAGTATCGGAGTGGTGAATCACCGCCGCTGTGATGACGGGCCCCCTCATTGGCATGTACGTTGAACTTCTTTCGTACCGTACCGTAACCACAGCCGTGCTGATCGGAGAAGGTGTGCGGGGGAAGTACAACAAACTTAAAAACACACAAAAAAACGCGTTTGTTCATCGGGCACTGGAATCGTTGTTTGTTATACGTCCCCAGGGGTCTGTTCTGGCTGGTGACCACGGTCTCCACAAACTGACCGGAGAGCTCACTCTTTGTTTCTTTCGGTAAAGTCACGTAGGTGAAAAAATTTAATAAGATTTTCAAATAAATAAAAGTAAACTAAATCACCCTGTGATTTAATTTACTTTTATTTATTTTATTTACTTTTCATTTTATTTTTTCACCTACGTGACTTTACCGAAAGAAGCAAACAGTGTGGATCCTTGCGGTCACGAAAACTTCAAAATCTAGAGTGGCCGGAGAGTTTTTATTTCGCCATTTGTGCATCATCATCATCATAATCGTCCAGCATCCGCGTCTGTTTTTGCCATAGTTTGTGTGCCTTTCATCGAATTAACGGGATTGTCAAGACAACGAGCACTATACCATTTGGCATTCAACCACCTCTGAATTGCCCTGGTATCTCAAGGGACTCACTGTACCTGTGTGTGCAAGGGGAGGGGGTTGCAGTCATTTATCTCAAGCAGCATAAACCATCACGCGAATTCCCGTCATCCTCGCAGCAGCAGCTCTTGGCTAACCATTGAACAAAGATAGTCACTTACATCATGCTCTTTCAGATGTGCTTCTGCGGCCGTCTAAAACGCTATTCCTTCTCGATATCAGGAAGCCACTGGAGCTATGCATTTTTTAATCGAGATGAAAACTCATTTCTTTAGAACTGCTTTTTGTGTTGAATTTTGTTGTCCTTCCCCCGCACCTACGATTAGCACGGTTGGCTACGTACAGTGCGAAAGAAGTTCAACGTACGTATACATTTAGGTGGTCCCTGCGGTTCGCTGGCGCCAGTGATCGTGATGGTCCTGCTGGTAAATTCTGGTGGGCCCTCCTAGTCAAGAGTGGTAGCCCCGGTGTTTGGCAACCAAATCCAGCCGGCCGCTCTATCAACCGGCATTGGCATTGACGCGTTTCACACCACAGAGGCATTGGCCATACATTTCCATGGCGATTCCTCCAATCCGGGCCCTTGCGCCTTACTCAGCATGTGTGTATGTGGTCGTTTTTGCATGCACCTGATGTATCATTTTGTGCGTGTGATGTCATTTATGAATTGTATTGTTGACACTTGTTTACCCGAAATATCCTCATTGAGTCCCATGACTCTTGTTCACAGTATGGGGGGACCACGATGATTGCTATGTTGATATATAATTCCAACTGAGTATTCTTGTCAGCACATTTTTCAAAGTTGCCAAAAAATTTTACCCATGACGCTCGGCACACGATGGCCAAGTTACATAAGGTAGGTGCGTGGACATCCGCTAGGTCGAATTCCACCTCCTTGTGTGCCGAGCCAGCCTCCAAATGTGGTCGCAAACAGCACTTGCCCCCAAAGTCTGCAAAGGCTATACGGGGGGTCTTTATCTGTGTCTTTGTTGTGTCCTGTGCTGTGTGTGACAGGGCTGTGGCTGAATGGGAAGCATGGCGAACGAGCCGGTGGTGCTCAATGTGTACGACATGGTGAGTGCTCCAAAGACAAAGATCCCCCGTGTAGCCTTAACCAACTGTTGGGTCAAGTGCTGTTAGCGAGCACCTATGAGGGCCGGCACCGTGGCACACGAGGGCGTGGATGATCAGGACCACGCCCAGCCGCCTTTGTCTGTCGAGTGGCAATTTTTACGCACTGCACCAGGTACTCATTTGAGGCTCAGTCGACCTAGAGGAGGCCCAGGACCAGTTCAGATAATCGTCACCCAGTTCGTAGTGCAGTGTGTGTCTGTGCTCGCTAGCAGCACATGCCCCGACAGTCTGTTAAAGGCTGTATGGGGGATCTTTGTATTTTTATATATGTGTAGCTGTACACGTACCTCTGTGATTCTGCGTGAATGTGTATGGGACTACGTGTGTCTACATGTCATGTATAGTTTCCCTTCTGTATCGTTGTGTGTGTGTGTCTACTGTGTGTGTGGGGAGCGGTAGTGTAGCGGTTAGCGCGCTGAGCTATGAACCCGGCGACCCGGGTTCGATTGCCCGCTCACGGCCAACACCAGTGACGATTATCTTAACCGGTCCCGGGCCTCCCCTACGTCGACTCAGCCTCAAATGAGTACCTGGTGCAGTGTGTAAACATTGGCACTAGGGAGACAAAGGCGGTCGGGCGTGGTGCTGGCCACCCACCCCCTCGTGTACTGTTACCGGCCTTCATAGGTGCTCGCTAACAGCACTTGCCCCTACAGTCTGTTAAGGCTATATGGGGGATCTTTATCTTCTTTACTGTGTGTGTGTGCATGGTGGAGGGGATAACGAGTCTCCCAGGGGACTTGGGCAGTGAATTTTCGGTGTCATTTTTTTTGCTACGGCAATAAGGTTCAAAGTTGCTGCTTGCTTGCTTGCTTCTGTGACTTTATTCAACGAAACAGCATGTTAATTAACACTAACAGAGGGCCAGTTGGCTGAAATGTTGAGATCTCTCTTTCCTCTCAGTGACAGAGAAACATACACCATCGTCATTCACAATTAACCCATTATTTCAGTTGTTTCACGCGAGAGCCGAGCTCGCGTAAACACCTAGTGGTGATAGTAATAATGATGATGCTAATTTGTAGCGAAACGTCACAACAGTGTCAACACATTCCAGTTTTGCTGATAAACAAAATCAAGTGGCGAATTTGCCCCCACGTGGCGATTTTATTTGATTGGCTCTGTCGGGTGGTTTGTGGGCTATCGTTAAGAGATTGACCTGGACCAAACTAATTATGAACCGGTATATAAATACATAACAAATAATGATAATGGTGACGATAACAGTGATGGCAACGCACGGATTAATTTACCAACGCAGCTTGATGTTTTGCAACATTACAGAGCAACTCATGCGTGGCCCTTCATTAAATCAGTTGAAGCAATTTCCTGCTCAAATGAGCACCGAGGCATTTGTGATCGTCACCTTCTTTACATCACTGAACCAGCGACGGAGATTCCACATTCCTATGACAGGGACAAGTATATTTATGCGACAATCACCGTTGACTTCCCCACAGTGTGGCCCTTACTTTATGTATCCCGGGGAGATGACGGGCTGAGTCAACCCCCCTGCCCCGCCCCAACCACGATTCGAACTTCTAACTCGCGAGAGTCGCTCGCTCCAGCGCTGAGACACCCGGTTGACTCAATAGACGAGGCCCGTTGACACGAGGCGGTGGGCGGATTTTTGCACACAGCGTTGGTGCACGGTGCTATTTCAGGAATATGTTGATGGTTTTTTTTTTTCCCCATGGATTTTCTGTTTGCACAGTCACACGCAGTCACGTTAAGATGTTTTTCTTGTTCGTGTTTTTGTTTTTTGTTTGTTTGTTGCGGTTGCACCCGATTCAAGAGCCGAATGGCTCACAGGGCTATACCAAAATAAATGGAACTATGAACCGATGAACCGCGAGGCCGTGCGTCAGCGGAGCGTCGACGCACGGCTCCGCGCCCGCCCGCCCGCCCGCCCGCCCGCGCCCCAGCGTTGCCCCCAAACATCTGCCCGTCACGGCGAGGCCAGGCGAGCGGCAGCGGCGCGTCCCTTGGGACCGCACTGCTCCAGGCCGTCGTCTCTGCGATAAATGGGTTTGCGCGTTCAGCGCGGAAATAATAACGCTCAAGAATAATGACGCGGTGGCACCCGGAGGGATTGGAATGCATCAGACTCGTGGGCGCACGCCGGGTGGATTATTGTTATTACGTTGCAGGATGTGTTGTTGTGGAGAGGTTACGTAGATGATAACGTTATCCAGATAGAGTTAGCAGGGTTTTCCCATTGCAAGCCAGCAATGACGTGGCCTATCTAGTGTTGAAATGTGCCTAGCAAGTATTCCAAGAATTAATGTTATAGCTCCGTCTCCCTCGCACCTCCGATGAGCATGGTTGGCTACGTACATACAGACATAGGGTGTGTTCCCTTTGCCATGCCGTTACCTGTCTCGTCGATTGGCCTTCGTCCCTTCGAGCGATCTGTCCCGGTCAGGTCCGCTGACTCGTTTTTTACAGCCAATACGATGCCTCGAATATGTGCACGGGAGAACGGAGAGGATGATGGGATGTCTGTGCATCGGTGACCTGCATGATATGCGTCAGGCAGAGGGCAAATTAGCAAACCGCTAAAAATATTGTTTTTTTATTTATATTTCCACATGCATGCATGCATGTATCTATTTTCCGACAGTGCTTCCGGTGTCGGTTATGCAGATTGTTGTTGGCCACTGCTGTGCATGCCATCGATTAATAACATGGAATATTATGCTGCCAACTGTCCACAGGGAATTTATATAAATGATACATATATATTTAATTCCTTTACTGCTGCACGTTGAATATTCTCATTAGGTTAATAGTGACATGGTGCACCATGAACCTCCTTGTACAAACGGTGAGCTTAAATTAATTAAATTTCCCTTTGGATTTTTTTATCGAGGTCATCCTCACGAGCAACCACAGGGCTCTTTTTTCAGGAGGAGGGCCCTTCGTGACAACGTTTGGCCACCGACGATAACGACGCGTGGCATGTGGGAGGAATCCTGGAGCTCGTGCGATGGGATAACACTCAAGAGCTCCGCACAGATGGATTCGGTCCACTTTCTGTGCTACCACCACGTGTTAGCTCAGAGATTCACACACGTCTGTGATCCACCCAGCCCTGTAGCACGACCTTGTTTTCTCGCGGAGGGGAGGCGGGGGCTCGACATATATGCAATGTTCACAAAAAGTACTTAATCAAACGTGAAACAGAATGAGTAACTATGCGATCTGCTTTTGTCTGTCGTGCCATTTTGCCCCGGCTCTCTGCCTGCATGATGGAAGGCTGTGATTGCCCGTCGCTTAATTGTCTTTACTGGTGTTTAGGGGTGGGGGGGGGGGGCGGTGGGACTCAGCCCCCTCCACCCCCACCCTGCTAGCCTTCTCCCCCCCCCGACTCTACGGGGCTGGTACCACCAGCCCTCTACCACCAGCCCTCGCTTCCAAATTCCTGGACTACAATCGTGTTGCCACCACGCGGACCCAGAACGAGCAAATAACACATTCTGTGTACACAGTCGAATTCAATAATCCTTCCATAAGCCTTACGGAGCCTTGCTGAGCCTCGCAATCAGCCAATTCCTGATATTTTGTTCGTGCCGGAGGAAAGCTGACGTGCCTGGAGGTAACACGTCTATGAAGGGATCGCGCCAAAACTCCAGACGAACAGCATAGCATCCTTGATGTACTGTCCCTCCAAATGGGCTCCACGGTGTGGCGAGATGTTATCGGCTTCGCCTGGTATGCTGGAGGCCATGGTTTCAATCCCGACCCTGATGCCTCTTTATATTTGGAGTTTGTTTGTCTCTCTCCCCGTGGTCGCATGGATTTGACTCCGGGTCCTCCAGTTTTTTTCCCCCTCCACATTTAGAATCAACATCACGCATTCAGATTATTGGCCACTATAAATTTCTTCATGATAAGCTACTTTGTAACTATCATTTGTGGCCAGGTCGCTTATGGAAAAATAAATCATATAGCCCAGTGGGCCTTACCTGGTAAAATAAAACATTGTTTAGTTTAGTTTCAATTGGCACCACCTTAACATACTACCAGTTAGTGGCTTACACTTGGTAGATCTGTCTACAACCCACCGACCTCAGTATCGCCACATCCTTCACACGCTTCTCGAACGATACCCATGCCACATCCACGGACGAGACATCTGGGCCAGGTTTGTTGTTTTTTTTTTGCTTGCTCCAGAAAATTCCATCAATCCAGCCGAAGCTATTATTATTATTTTTAATACGAGCCCTCGGTTGGCCGTGACGTAGAACAACTCTCTACGCGCCATAACCTGCCGTCGCGGGCCTGTCGGGCAAGGGTCTCTACCGCCACCATGCACGAACCCAGCCATGCGGCGTCACGCCCTGCGGTATGGACGTTGGCGCCGGCGTAGAGCCGCACGTGCCCACTGGGCGACCTGGGGCACGCCGCGCTGATCACGCGCCCTTCGCCGGCACTCTGCCCAGTCAAGGTCAGAGCGGTGGAGCGGAGTGGAAATTTATAAATTTATAATTCCGTGAGCCAAGCCAACAGACTTTGATAACCAAGTGGAACGCATATTGAGATCACGTCCAGTTTTTTTTTTATGGAGGAGCTGGCAGGGAGCGGGGGGGGGGGAGTACTAACAAGTTAAAGTGCTCCCCCTCCCGCCACCGTCCTACTCCAGTGGGCGTGGCGTAGCGCTCATCTCTGTTGATGACCCGTAAGTAGTGGAGGAAATTCCACGTTTCTATGGCAGGTGTCCGTATGATCATTAAACAGCTCCCAGTGACCCAGGGTCTGGGGCGTGGGGGGCGTAGGGGGGGGCGTGCAAAAGGCATGGACGAACACCCCCACCCATAAAAAAAAAATTGACATGTTGTCTGCCGTAGATCATTGTGAAATATTTTTCATGAATGAGAAATTATACACAACGCATAAATATATATGTATATTCAATTCTACGTATACATTTCATATTT